GGGTTCTTAGATATCTTCGATTTACTTGTAACATTGGGCTTAATTATACTAGATATCCAGCAATACTTGAAGGATACTGTGATGCAAATTGGATATCGGATACTAGAGCCTCAAAGTCCACCAGTGGGTATGTTTTTACTCTTAGTGGGGCGGCTGTATCTTGGAAATCTTCCAAACAGACTTGCATTGCTAGGTCTACTATGGAATCTGAATTCATAGCTTTAGACAAAGCTGGGAAAGAAGCAGAATGGCTTCACTACTTCCTTGAAGATATTCCAATATGGCCAAAATCGATGCCTGCTATATGCATACATTATGATAGTCAATCAGCAATTGGTAGAGCACAGAGTCATATATATAACGGTAAGTCATGACACATTCGTCGTTGACATAACACCGTGCGATAACTACTCTCTAATGGAATTATGTCCATTGAATATATGAAGTCTAAAGACAACATAGCGAATCCACTAACCAAAGGGTTAGCACGAGAGCTAGTTGAGAATTCATCGAGGGGAATGGGACTAAAGCCTATTAAATAAGAGTTACCACAACGGCAACCCAACCTAGTTAACTGGAAATCCCAAGATCTAGGTTCAAAGGGACAACCGAGTTGTGAATGACTCAGAAGGATCACTGGGGAGTCCAACTCCTACCCATTTCTATGATGAAATAGTGATGTCTGCAGCGGTTTAAGTTAAGTAATACTTTTAATGATTCTTATATCTAGGTAAACCTAGTAGAGTATGGCAAGATACTCTTCATAAGAATCACCTATGTGAGTGTGAACTGGGCCGGTTCTATGAGATTTGTGAAGGGCTATAATTCTCTAGAGCACTCATGAAAGACCAGGTTGTTCAAGGCCAAAATGAACACAATAGTGAGAATTAAACTGTGTCTGGGGATATACTGTGCGAGTTCTATTATCTTATTTTACACAAACGGCTGACCAATTCAAGACATCATGTTCACTGGTTAACTAGTAAATCCGATAGTGTCTCACAAGGAAAGGTTCAAAGCCAAAAGCTACCTATTCTATGCAGAATATTTCTAATTTCTGTGCTCTCTGTAATTATATCATGTTGTTGCATTTTCTCTCCGTCAAATTCCTTTCATGTGAGGGATTGTTGGAAAATTGGTTTTTATATGGCTCATTTTGGGCCAACTTTGAGCCCAAAATGGAGTGGGCCCCAAACGTCTTTTGGGATGGGTCCGAAAATGTGAAGTGTTCCTTGCCACGTGACAAATCACACGGTGAAGACGGTTCGTCAAGACCATTTATGAGTGAATGGAAACTTAACGTCGTTTTCGGGTTCATGAAATTGAACATTTAAGTTTTAAATGTAGATTTCCTTGTGTGGCTTGTCCCACATTAAAACTTTAAGAGAGTTTTGTTGAGTATATAAGTTCTAGCCTACAACACTTGGGTTAGGCACTAAGGGGCACCCCAAGTTTGTAGAAGGGAAGAGTTATGGACAAAGTAAACCTAGCCCAAACCACAACACACGCGCGCGCCGTCGCCGTGCCGTGCCGGGTGTGGGTGTGGGTGTGGGTCGGGTCGGTTCTTGTATTAATTTTTTTGACAAAAATTCTTTTGAATTTTTTCAAAAATTAATTGCGGGAAAATTTAATTAAATTCAAATTTGAATTTAATTTGTGTCCTAAATTCTTTCCTTATTCGGTCCATGACAAAACAGGTTCAAAAAGTCCATAACAGATTCAGTTTTGAGCAGTTACAGATTCGGTTTTGAGCAGTTTCTGAACAGATGAATAACTGTTGCAGTTATCTATTGAAACAATGCCGGATTTGTTAAAAATTCAAACTATACCTGTACAGTTTGAAAATGCACCTGTTCAGGTTGTCTTCATACCTGTTCGGACAGCATTTTGTGCCTATAATTACTTGACACTTCTAGCAGTCTTGTGTATCCGAAAATCAGTCTGAAGATCCCATCTTGTGCTGTCCAACTTTTATCTTTGGTGCATTGTTCTTCATATTAGTTTTAGAATAAATTTCAAAGAGTTAGAACACAAGTTTGGTTCACCGTTCAATTTGTTTTGGAGTGCTACTACAAATTGGTTAAGATCATTCTATCCTAGGAAATAAACGCCACATAACCGTAAGCACCGTAGCGGGGCGAATCTGTCTTAAGGATAAAGTGTCATACACTTGACTTGGTCTTTTGTTTTTCATTTGGTTCGACAAAATAAATTCAATAAGTTTTATTTTATTTTTGTTTGAATTAGTTTCTATTTATTTTATTTACACAGAAAATTGTTCCAACATGGACAGCATCTGAGCACAGGAGTGAAATTATTTCAAGCTGCTACAGAGCGTGCAAGCTTGCTTTGCCTTTCAAGACCTAGTTCATGCTCTTGATGATATCTGGGCGTTGTCAGGGCTGGGTCATGATTATGGTCTGGATATCGAAGCCATTAAGAAGGCTGCAGTGTTGCATTTTAATGGGAATATGAAACCTTGGATTGAACTGGGCATTCCAAAATATTGAGGTTAATGGAAGAAGTTTTTAAGCCGAGAAATTCAATTCCCGAGTGATTGCAATGTGAACGCATAAAGAGGGATTGTGGTTCATTACTGGAATTATGGAGGATCCAAGCTGCAAAATTCTGGGAGCAAAAGAATTTTTCCTGAGCTGGTTGGTTACTGGGGTAATGGATTGCAAGGAGGCGATAGCCGTGGTGAAATTTGACACAGGTATTTCTTTCATGAATAAACAGGATGAAAATTGTCTACTTTCGGACAAGGCAGAAGGGAGAGTTCTAGTGGTGCTTATTAGTTGCAAGCTTTTTTGAACAATTGGTGAGCGGTTGACATGCAATATTTATCTTAGAAGGTGCAGGGAGCCAGAGGAAGAGCCTAGTTCTCTGCTTTAGTTTTTGCTATATGTATAGAAGCAAAGTCGGGATTATGAATTCCTGTACATGAGAGGGGGTGGTTGCACGGTTTCCCGTAGAATCAAAGGCCATATTGGATAGATGAATGATTGTTTGGCGAGAGAACAAATAGGTTGAGTTCCTTCCGAGTTTTGTTTTGTTTTTTTTTTTTTTGTTTTTTTTTTTTTTTTGTGCTTGGCAGTCAGAAAAGTAATATATTGAGTTATCTTTTGAAATTGTATCCTTTCAAACATTTGTGCATAGTGTGACGGAGGGAATCCCTGTTGGCACGGATGCATCCAAGGATATGTATAGTTTAGTAGCCTCATATTCAAAAACTATTTGCGCATAGAAATCAAACGAATTACCAATGCATCTGAACCAACATATGCAGGAGGAATTGAATTCCTCTCTTCCTGGCGTGTTTTTGGATTATTTTATATTCCAAAATTCCTTTAATGGCCTAAAACTACCTATTTTTTCGAAAATTCACCTTGATTTTCATACTTGGTTTTAATCATTAATCATCCAACGGTTAGGATTTCATCTTATCCAAATTTAATGGTTCATATTTTTTTAGATACTATACATGAAAACCTATATTGAGCTGCATTTTGATATTCTTTTTCTGTATATAATAAAAAGCTCACCAAAGTGAAGATGATATGACTATTTGTTCCTGGATGAATTTTATCGATTTTTCACCTCTATGTCTATTTTTCCATCTTTACATATATTCACAAATCAAATATAATGTGTAAGATTCACCATGTTCAGCATATGGTGTAGTTCTTTATAATGGTCATGTTCAAATATATCAAGAAAATACCAATGCAAACATGGAGTCCAGGCTGAGAAAAATTGAAAAAATAGTTTCCAAACACAAAAGGCTTCCCCCGATAAACCAATCATGAAGATGAAGATGAGTCCATGCAATCAGAGTGATGCATTGCATTTGCATAGATCCAGGTGACTACCGCATGTCAACAAATTGCATTCGGGATATGCATACATTCGGGTGACTGTCAACTATCAACAAAACATCGAATCGTGGGTATGTTTAAGAACACATAAAGTTAGCAAAAGTGGAAAAAAGGAAAAGAAAAATATTATACAGAATAATAAATTTTACAAACTTTTTATCAACTGATGTGTCTACCATAATAAAACTTTAGAAACTAGAACATGACTTATTTTATTAAGGGTATAACTTCTCTCACGTTTAAGGTATAACTAGACTAAACAGTCCATTTACCCAGATGATAGTACATCAGCATAAATAGCAATCAAAGGTCCAAATTCAAGGAGACCCACTTCAAACGTGAGTTCCTCTCAATATGACATTACTTTTCACTTATTGAGACAACATATATATGCTAACGCTGTATGAGCTTTCCCATTTTGTGCACATGAGCTTTCCTCTCAAATTCAACTGAAGCAAGATAACCAAAGGCCCCAAATCATGGTTGGAACCCACGGCTTTAATCACATGCAGAAGTCCCAAATAAATAAGGAAAACCGTTAATTTCAGCATACGAACATCAAAAAGCTTCCAATGCTTGAGAAAATATGACCCCTAAAATCATTCACAATAATGTGACTACTCCGCATCATTCATTTAAAAATTCAACCACATCTCAATTTAAGGTCATATTGTAAGGATCCCTAACATTTCTCATTAATTAATAAGGGCGTTGAAGCAGTTTAGAGCTACTCAACATTTGATGGGAGATGGTGTTTGTGTAAGTTGTGAAGTGGAAATTAAGGGAAGGGCATTGTGGTCCTCCACCTCCAGGCAGATGCAGTGAGCAAGCAGAGGTCCTTCCAACCAAGCTTGAGGGTGCCGTTTTCCTCAACCAGGGTGTATCCTCCTCCAATTCCATCATTGGATGCAGAAGAGTTATTATCATTTTTAGGGAACATTCCAAGTAGGAGGGTGGCTTGGGCTGTTGCATTTCCAGCTAGTGAGATCCCCTTGAAGCCGCACTGCTGAAGCTTCTCCCTCCAATAGTAACAGCTACAGTCATCCACACTATTGATCCTGGATCTGGGTAGTCCCCCAACTGCCAGAATGTTCCGAATCTCCCTTGATAGCAGTTGTTGCTCCACCACATGCCTCTCTTTGCTCTCCTCCCCGTAACTTGCCCCTAGTGAGTCGAACATTGCTGAGTAATAGTGTATAGCCTCCACAAATCTTTCCAAAAACGACCCTGCATGCCTTAGGTCCTGCTCTACCACTGTCACCACTTTTGGTGCCAATCTGATATTATCATCATGATGATTTTATATCATGTTACACCCGCCCCCGCACACAATTAGGCATGTTAATTAGTGGCCACAAGAGAGGAGGATAACAGCACACACGACTAACTTATAAATCAACAAACTCGATAAGCAATAGTAGAACATAGGTACACATATTGATATGTTGGAATCAAAATGACACAACATATAATTTGAAGACAAAATTTGATTATATTGTGACTGCGTATAAGACTTCACTAGTAGTAAAATTCGAACTTTACATAATTTTTTTAAAAGAGATTTATTTTAAAATAATAATTTTAAATTCAAAAGCATGGTTAAATATTTGATGTCTTTATATTTAGTCATTGGATTATAGCACAACAACACAATTTTATTTATTATATCATTTTTTACTTTTAAACACAAAGAGATGGGGCTCACATTAAAAAAATATGATTATGTATAACATTTATGAAACCCACACATCTATGCTAAAAAAAAGGGTAAGAAATGTGGTTATAAGTAACATTTTGTGGGTTGTAAAGAAAAAAGAAAAAAAAACGTGGAAGTAATTGCATTATTACCTCTGGAAAAGCCATAGGGCATTGGTGTCGGAGCCGGTGACATCGTAGAGGGAGTGTTGCAACCAGTGGATAGCAACGGCATCCCTCTTGCTCACATTCAGCCTCTCCGGATCCAAGTTGCCAACTTTGTCTGCAACCGGAGAGAACTCAAAAGGGAGTCCCAGTTTGTGGGCGAAATCGGACAAGCGCTTGCCTGTGGCCTCCAATGAGTCCATGGAGGTGCCCAAGCCAGTGAGGCGAACGAAAGGGGGTCCCCCGGGACGAGATGCCAGGACATGGAAGAGTCCCGGCCATTGCATTCCTTGCATGATGTCGAGGTCTATGATGTGCACCCTGTCCTCCCTCTCCAAAGCTTCCTGTATGGCCTGGTTGGCAGTGAAGTGCGAGAACTTAACCAAGGGGCTGATCCCGTTGAACACTTGGAAGGCCGACACCATCTGCTGGGTCTGGGTCTGGGTCTGGGTCTGGTTACGTGGCACTAGCGTCTCGTATATCCCCAAGTAGGAGTTCACCAGTCTTGCTGACATGGCTTCTGAGAAGTATGCGGCCACCCTCTGCGCTGACGTCCCCACCGGCGTCGACATTTCAGAGATCTCCAGCAGCATTTTATTCGCCTCCTCAAAGTTATCTGCTGCTACGGCATCCGCACACTTGAGAAGTAAGGTCAGGAGATGCAGACCTTCTTCGTCCCTCTTATGCTGCTGCTGACGTCGTATTTCTTCCTTTTTCTTCAGTCTGGTGGTGGTGACGATTGCAGTTGACTGCTCCACTTGACTCGATGAGGAGGAGATGACCGGTGGTGGTGGTGCAATGGAACAAGGGCTGGTCATCTGATTGCAGCAAAGGTGTTGAGTCTGTTGAACATTTCCTGAGCTGAAGATGGTGTTGGGGGAGGTCATCGTCGCTGGTAGTGTTATCCCCAAGTTCAAGTATTGATTCATGGCATGCGAAGTGACGGTATCCGGAAGGTGATAGGACAAGTTGTCAAGGCCGCAGCCAGAGCCTAGATAGAGTTTAAACCCGGAAGAACCCTGCTGCACCTGCCCTTGCTGGTTTTGATGGTGGTGGTGGTGTATATGTACTTTACCTGCTGCATTCTTCTCCGCTGCTGCCTCCTTTATGCTCTCCCCCTCCGAGTAATCGGGCAATATTGGAATTGGATCCGTCAAAGGCAGATCTGACAGAGACCAGAGCCTATACTCCAGGAGGGCAGCGAGGTTAGGGTTGCAAGGGTGGATGATCTCTCTCACGTTCTGGATGAGGTGAGGTATCGAGACGTGGTGGTTGTGGTGGTGGTGGTGGTGGTGGTTGGTGGTGCTGTGGATTAGATTCTTTATGATGTCATCGATCCATGCAGTCGCCATGGTGTACTCCATCTCCATGGAAGCACTAGTAGCACTAGTACTAATAATAGGAGGAGGAGGAGGAAGAGGACTACTAGTAGTAGCAGCAATACTAAAGGGTGCAACAACAACTGCGGCAGCAGATAACTGCTGCTGCACATCCAGAGGAGAGTTGGTGTTTTGAGCTTTTTCAGTTTCATTTTCAGGTGGGAACAAGGGCAGGCCGGAGAAGACACATATGGAAGGGGTAGTCTGGGATTGAGATTGTCGCTGACGATGAGGAGGTGAATGTGGGGGTTCCAATTCCAAGTAGGTGTAGTAGGTCAACCCGGTTGTGGTGGAAAATCCGGACCCTCCTGATGACAACGTCACGCTCGGGTGATTGGCGGAAGAAGGTAGCATGGTGGCGGTGGTGACAGTGGCAATTGCTCTGAGCCAACACACAAGAAATGTTTTAGTGAAGACAAATTTATTGCGGCAGGCTGCGTTTTGAAATGCAGATTTTTTCAAGAAGTTTTTTATTTTTTATTTTTTATTTTATTGTAAAGCTGCTTCCAGAGGAAACATTTACTCGCATTTTATGGAATGGTTGAATTTTGGATTTTCTACCTTAAAAGCCATGTTGGTTAAAAGAAAATTAAAAGAATACAGTCCATCATATCATTTCTTGGGATAAAATAATCAATTAAATATCAAAAGTCGTGCCCCAATACTAAAAGAATATCCCAAAAAGGTATAGAGGATTTAGGAATGGCTGGTTATGTCTATGAAAAATGGAACATCGACAAATGGTTGTCAAAAAAAATACTGAATAAAATGAAAGATGACGGGTATGTCATGTAGTGCATTTCACTTCATAAGCCAAACTTTAAGTCATGCTTTATTGGCTTTTATTTTGATAAAAATAACAATAATTTGGGTAACAATAATTTTAAAATAATTGATTAATACTAGGTATAATTTAGGATCTAAAAGTATATTTTCTTCTTGTCTTAAATTTATTTGATTCACGCAAAAGAACACTTTGCGTGAATTACAGAATTAATTGAGACACTTATAAATTAATCTAAACACTCCATCATGCAAAGGAGAGGAAGAAAAAATCAGTAATTTGCATTGTGGAATGTGTAAAATAATAGAGCACTAGCCACTTTGACAAAGTAGGCCACCACACCAATCACACTAGTAAGTGTGCTTTTTGTACCCCTAGCAATTAAATAGCATTTAATCACCAATAATATAAGATGAAGATCATCGACGGTTTTGTCCGGTATGCTTTTGTCACCCTCCTCACCCCCACTTAAGATGGCACAATTTTATTTGTCTTGGGTTGGACACTAGTGACTGTCAACTCAACATTATAGGTTACTGTAGTGGCGCAAAAAGTAATACCTTACTAATAATGGGCCAATTTAAATAAAGAACTCCATCAAGTAAATATCACACTTCTATTTATAAAAGGGAGGCATTGTATGGAATGAAGGTATACCTCATATCTCTGCACCACACAAGTATACTCACTCTCATCTGTTTTTCATCTTCTCTATTTTATTCAAGTTGATAGCTTTATCATTAGAGTGTCTCTAGCCGACAATCCCGATTGGATGGCACCGACTTGCTCATTTTTACAGATCTACAGGGGCAAAGCTTATCTCTTCGTTAAATTTCTACAACCCATGTGAGATGATTTTCTAGATCTCATCAATTAGCATCATCTGTAGGAATCATCTGCAAGAGTTCAATGAAGAGAATAGCAAACATGTTATTAGACTTGGCATTCTCTCTCTAAAAGAGGTTTCAACAGCACAGAAGATCAAGGCAAATTGCCGAAGAAATGTTTCGGCAAGCAAAATCACTCAACTCCCCGGCCAATGAAATTTTGACAAGATACAAGCAAGTTATCGAAGAGGTGCTTCGACAAACCAAAGAACTAAGTAGAGTTGCTAACCAAGTGCTTCGGCAAGCGACAACGCCAAGAGAATCATCGCCGCTAACCAAGAGCACGATCTGCCGAGCACAACAATCAAAGGGTCTATCATGCCATTTAGCAATGGCACTGCCGATCAAGAACAAAAAGACCAATGGACGGGATGAGCACCATTATGCCCTCACTGAACATGCATACTCTTTGCCGAGTAGAAATGATGTCGCCAAGTCGACATCGTTATGCTAAGGACGTTAGAAACATTCACTTCAACATTCTCTCCGCCGAAATGAAGTTCCGAAGCATCATTTGCCAAGAGAATTGAACTTTACTTAGCAAACAAAATATATATACCTCTGAGCATACATGCATTCATACAATCATTCATTCATTCAGAAAATGTCACGACTCAAACCCGCATCTATAGGTTTAGCGTCGTAACCGACCAGTAATCAGGAATTACTAAAGGTGTGCTTAACAGTGAATAGTAATAAGGGTTGACGGAAGCCAATAATAATAAAATAAAATCGTTCGATGAGTTGGGGGACTTACATGGAATGAAACAACTTTAAACAAAACATATGAACAAAAACATTTACATAACCTCGGGAATTAAATCTCATTAACAAAATTTAACAAAACAAAAGAACTTATACCAAGACTTCATAACATTATATCACAATTGCAAAATGGGTGAATGTGAGATCCAGAATATAAAAATAAAGTAAATAATTAAATAATAATAATTTTACAATCTCAAATATTTTGATGGTGAATCCTAAAGTGCAAATTAAATATTTAGAAGGCCTCTTAATTAATTTTAAAACCTAAAATAAATTTATAGTGAAAGTCTTTAATTTAGAGGCAAGATTTATTTATAAACAAAAATAGGAGACCAATTAGTTAGTATATTTTGATCTAGTAATAGTTTTATTTTATTTAAATTAATGGAGAGAGTAAATGAATTAAAACAAAAAGATAATATTTTAGGACCTTTTGTTTAGATACATAATGTAACCCTAAGTTGCCTAATACAATGTAGGGCAGCAGTAGCAGCGCCACGGGAGAGAGAGAATTTGAGAGAAAAAAAAAAAAGAAAAAAAAAAAGGTTGCCAACAAGGAAGGACTTTTGGGTGTGTGGTAGGTTTCTAACTTTCTTCTTCTTTTATTTTTGTTCTTTATCCTTATTATATCATTATTTAGTTCATTGATGGAGAAGTCATAGGTTTATGTATTTTGTGTATATCTATATACTGTTAAGAAATTTGAGGGGTTAAATTCATGTATAAAGAATGAGTGTAATTCTTAGTGCAAAAATTCTGCACAGAATCACAAACTTTAAAAATCAAGAAACCATATCAAATGGATGAATTTTAAACTGAAATTTTTACAGTAGATTAATTACACATAGAATTTCATATCTGAATTTTCTCACATCTTTTGGGAGTCAAAATCCATATAAACTAATGCGTTCAAATCTGTCCAGAAAACTGATTTAAAATAGTAAGTTCGGAAGCATCGTTCTCTTTGGGTATAGATCCGAAAATTATCAAATTACTGTCATTAGAACCGGTTACGAGTCTAGTTTTGTACATTTTTGGCTTTGCATTGATTTCTCATGTATACTAAGAGAACCATTAATTTCTTTAAAGTGCTGCAGAAAACAACCTGTTTAGATATAATTAATTGTAGATAATTATTTTGATAAGAAAATCAAGTGAAACCAATTGGGTTTGAAACTTAGGATATATTAGTTGATATCTAGAGGGTCTTGGAATTTTTCGAACAGCGTGGAGTAGGTTTTGTAATTTTCAAAGTTAGCGAATAAATTGGAAAAACTTGTTTAAAATTCTGTTTTATCTTAAAGTTACTTTTAATTAAGTTTCTATTTGAACCCATGTCTTGGGTAATTTTAGACCTTGAAGAACATGAGCTTAGGTAATATTTAAAAGTAACGGTGAGTTGGGTTGAGCCGTGTTAGTGCGCTTTAATTTGGGGTTACTTAGTTCTTATTCTTTAGTATTTTTAAATTAGTAGTGACGTGTAGTTTTTATACTTAGCTCAGGACACTAGTTGGACTTTCATACTCTATTCAAGGATTATATTATTCCGTTTTCAGGTGAGTAGTTGCATGCTACATATTTTTATAAATTTTCACCCACCCTAAACTATTGGAAAACTAAATTGTTGTTTCAGGACTAAACTGTTTTGATAAATTATTATATTATTGATGGAATTAAATTATTTCTGAAACATGTGTAAATTTGGCATATTGTGAACTATTTGTTATGGTCTCATGTTTATAATGGTGAGCTACCGTGTTTTGTGAAACTGAATTGTATTGATTATCGGGACCATATGTATATTTTAGTCCAGGAAAATTATTTCACTATGTGTGGTGACTCTGGCCACTAGGAAACAGATCCGGGTTGGGCCGTGATGACTCTAGTGCTCAACGATTATAAGGAAAAGACCTAGGCTAGACTAGGTAACCTTCAATCAAATCGTCTTAGAGAAAAGGCCCAGATTGCCACCCTAAGGATGACTCTTAGTTGGTATTAGATCCAACGGGGCTTATAGCCTTGAGAACTGTATGGCATGTTACTTGTTATTCTTGGTACCCAGAAAATTATTGGTGTTCATGTTGTAATCTGTTTTAAGTGAAAAATGTCATTTATCATTTTCTTGAGAGACATGAGTATTTTAACTGTTGCACTGTGAAACCTTCTTTTTGAAACAAATTGTCTTTACCAAACTGTATGCCAATCTAGTTTCTATGATATATATCTTATTTTGGAATTGAACCATGTTTTTAATACTATATTTACTATCCATGTTGCTACTCACTGAGCTATTAGCTGATTTAGTTGTTTATCATTTTCAGGTGTTAGAAGGACTTAGAGTGGACTCATGGCGTAATGGGGACTCAATTGCATGGACTTCTAAGACATTCATTTATTTTGTTTTAGATTGTTATGTCAAGTTTGTGCATATTTCTTTTTATTCTTGTTGAGATTCATTTAGGATTATTTTGATATGTGGAATGTTTATATCCCATAAATTTAGATGGTATTGATTACGGTTGGTTTTTCCGTTTATACTTGTGGCATGTCACTGGATTGAGTTTGGTTATTTATTACTGGACTTTTGTTTAGTTGTTCAATGTGATTATGGATTCGTGTTTAGGCTTACGTGTGCCTTGGGCTAAGGCCTTGTGGGCCACGGCCTATCATACCCGGGTTTGGGGTGTGATAGTGAATTCAACACTACCCAAAAGCCTTAGCATGTGACAGTTTGGAACCTTGCAGTGAGGCACGGTAGTTGGCTTGACAAAACAGGGTTCAGGTTGACGCCACTTAGTCCTGTCCTGTGCTTGATCACCTACATACATTTATAAAACAGTGAGTTAGAGTCCAGTGAATAATCTCAATGTAAAGTTGTTAAATAGATAAAATCCATAGCTTATCAATTCAAAACACTACCATACAAACCTCAGAGAACTTTACATAGTTAACACTTAGTGCAGTACATTTCCAAAACATTCTTAACCCCTTGATATAATTCCAAACGAAACGTTCACAACGAAACAAAACAGTTATCATATATGGTCATTAAACCGTTCAAAGTTACGTAC